TAAGGACACTGCAGTGGAGGGATGATCCTAACCATCTGGGTAGATCCTAATTGTTCAGGGTCCTTTTAAGAAGGAGACAGGAGAGTCAAATTTGGAAAAAGTTGTGCTTGTGGAACCAGAGGTTGGAGTGATGCCTTCTGAAGATGGAGGAGGCGTCCGTGAGCCGAGGAATACAGGCAACCACTGAAGGCAAGGAAACAGTTTACCTCCTGAAGCCTCCACAAGGAAAACGGCCTTATAACACCTTGATTTTAGACTTCTAAAAGAATGAATGAAGCCGCTGAGTTTGTGGTAATAGTTACAGTGGTGATTGGACACTAATCCAGGTCTAAATCTTATGTCCCCAAGTTTCCACCTGCTTGTCTGCCAAGCCTCTTTCTGCCTTCCTAAGGCTCTCCCAAGTCACTTGTGAGAATCCTTGGGGCTGGTTTGTTTTTTTTTTTTAATGAAACTTTTAGTATTTTATTCATTTTCATAGTTTTACAGTATTAGTAAAAATAATGGCCATTATAAATAAGTATAAAATTGAAGTTGATGAAAAAACAACCCCAAGTCTTCCTTAACTCCCACCCCGCCACCAAAAAACTAGCTAGTATATGGCAAATATCCTTTTCATACATTATATTTAGGCATATATTCACTTTGTAGTGGTGGATGGTTTAGTCGCTAAGTCGTGTCTGACTCTTGTGATCCCACGGACTGTAGCCTGCCAGGCTCCTCTGTCCATGGGGTTTTCCAGGCAAGATTACTGGAGTGGGGGCTGGTCTTGAGTGCATGAGTATAAGAACATACTTATACTCTGGACTCCTCATGGAAGCCCACTGCCTGCAGGGCGAAGAAGGAGACCCTCGCCACAGTTGCTGTTGTGGATGCCCCTCCCAGTGTCACCATACCCCCCATCCTGTGGGCAGACCAAATGCTGCTGACCTTCCCATCCACGTCCCCAGAGGGTCCTCTCTTACACTCTGTCACTTGGACTCCAAGGCAACCTCACTGGGACATTCCTGAGCAGGGCTCCATCCTACCAGTCCCTCTGGCCTGACCCTCCCCATCTTTGCAGGTCGGCTGGGTGGGGAGGGATGGGCAGTCATCATTTTCTTCTGTTTGTTTCAGTTTTCTTATATATCTCTCTGACCCTTGCCCCCTAATGTATGCTTTTCTGTCTGGTCTACAGGCCTGAGGATGCATGTGAAATCCCACAAATTGACATTAGGGGTGAGGGTAGTGGTAGTGGGGAACATGGTTTGTCACCCTAACGCAACCCACTCTGGCCCCCCTGAGACATGAAGTATCTTAACGAAGGTTCAGGATGTTCCTTTCCTTCTCGAGGGTTATTTTTCTGCGAGCTCATGCTTTTCATTCTCAGCCTTTTCTGCTGCTTTTCACCCAAGGACACTTCTCTCAATGATGTCCCTGTTTGGAGCATCTCGCAGCCTTGCTTCGTAACTACCATTACTCATATTATATGCTTAACCAAAGGAACTTACAGGAAGTAGGGGCTCTGCAGGGAAGCCAAAAGGATAACGATAATGCTAGTTGCAGAAGTAAACGTCAGATGTTCAGCGGCTTAATGACCTAATAGTAGTTTATTCCTTGCTTGAAGTCCACAAGGAGTGTTCCTAATAGTGATGGCCTTCCTCATGCCCATGGCCATTCAGGGAACTCGGTTCCTTTAATTGTGGTCTTGCTGGCCCTTAGGCTCCTGGAGTCCTGTTGTTTCAGTTGGTGGACAGGAAAAAGACAACACGGCAGTGATTCTGGGGCCTGAGTGTGCATACAGATCACCTCATGATCTTGATCGAATGCAGATTCAGATTCAGTAGATGTGTGGTGGGGCCCGAGAATCTGCATTTCTTACCAGCTCCCAGATGATGCTGAGACTCCTGGTCCAGGAATCATCCCGTGAAGGATGAGATTAAAGGAGGATGAAGCACTGGGAGCTGGCTGAGGGTAGAGGTTGTCCGCCTTGAAGAATCAAGCCAGGAAGTGGCAGACTTCATCCTTAGGACCTGTTGGCGGGAACCCAGTTGCACGGCCTCACCAAACTCTGAAAGGAGGCTGGGGAATATAGTCCAGCTCTGCCCAGCACAGAGACGACAGACTTGCTAGTCACCCAGCAGTTTCTACTACATGAAGGCTTGATGGAGGGCAATGCACTTTCACCAGCTCTGCCTTCAGGGAAATGGCAGCATCCTTTATTAACAGTCATGGAGGCCACACAATGGAGAGGATTCCTAGATTTGCTGGGGTGGGTGGATGTTACCTATCTCCACCCCATCAGTGGGGCTGCTTCATCACTAGAGCTAGGATGCAAAGAAGGGGGAACCTGAGCTGGTGGATGGGAAACTTTCCTGACTCTCTGTGCTGTGGGCAGTAAGAAGCTGGGTGTGTGAACTGCCTGGAGGACAGGAGCTTAAACGTCTCTGGGGCATCCCAGGATTCTGATAGAGAGATCCAGTCACCGCTGTTTCTCAGGCTGCCTTCCCTATCTGCAGCTGCGCCCCCCTCTGTGCCCAGGGGCTTGTGGGTCTTGTGAGTCAGCACTCTCCCATCCCAGGAAGACCTTTGGAACCCTGTGGGATGCAGGTCAGCAAACAGGTGAGGACACGGGTGCCGACTTGTCTCTGCCTCTCTTTCCCCACTGCAGTGGTGCCTTCCTTGCTGCCGGGAGGTTGTGACGATTAGAGACAGCATTTGACAAGGGACAGCTAGCTCCCCATGTATCTGGGCTGCTGCTTAGCTGTAAACTAGGAAGTTTGATTTGCTTAGAAACATGCGGAAGAGACTGCTTTTGCTCTACTTTCCAAGGCTCCTACTCAGGGGGTGGGTGAGTTTTCTGCTTGGATATTGAAAGTTATTGGATATTCAATATTGGCTATTGAAAGATACTGGATATTGAAAGTCTGGTAGCTGTTGGTTCAAGTTGCTGCCTTTATCACCTTGCTTCTTGTTGGCTTATTTCAGGAGGGAGCCTTAGGGATCTGGGTAAAGTCGGAAGGAAGGAGTCATCGATGGTCCAACTACTTTGCGCGCTGGTTCAGGGGAGAAAGCGCAGGAGAGCCTAATTTGTCCTCAAGTCCATATTCCTTTCTCTAATCCAGCTTTGTAATAAAGTGGAGATTTTGAACTCTGTCTCCTGTGTCTATTTTAAAATTTATTCTGAACCCAGAGGAGACAGGCTGTGAATGACCAGTACCCTTTAGAACCCCAAGATATGGATTGCCTAGCACTGAGTATCTGGCAACTGTTAGTCTTTTGGGGGTTAGAGTGAAAGAATGAGGCTACTGATAGGCTCATCTTGGTTGAGGATAAGTAGTCTTAAGGCTTCATTCTGATTGAAGATTTTAGTGCCTAAAATAAGATTTCAAAGCAGCAGTGGTTTTCTTGGTGGGAATATTCATTGCAGAGTCACTTGAGTTTATCTGCTGTGTTTTATGATGCAGTTTGTTCCATAGACTCATAAGATTCTTAAGTCACAGGGTTCATCAACCTCACAGTTGATGGTGAAATTTCCTTAGATGTCTGCTCAATTTGTCTAGACTCTGTTTAGCCACCTGTGGTGATGAGGGACTTCTTTTGTCTCCGGGTAGTCCACCCCAATTTTGCATCCATTCTACTTGTTAAAAGGGCCTTTGAACTGAAATGTGCCCCCCTGTGGCTTTTTTCATAGGGCTGCCCTCTCAGATGACCTTCATCAGTGAACTGTTGCTACAATAATGCACCTAGCAAACCTTACATTTTGCGCTCACACTCCTGGGCCTGAGCCTCTGTCGCAGATTGTCTGACCCAGGCTGGGCTTGTTGGCTCTGCGGCTGCACCGCCAGCGGCATGGGAGGCCTGGCTGGGTTCTTCACTCTCCATTGGGCCTATTTCTCTTCCACGCGTGTCTGTCCTTGATCTCAAGCCGAAGGGGCAGCGGCTACCTGGGGCACGTTCTTCTCCTGGAAGACAGCAGTAGCGCAAGAGGGCAAGCCTGGCTAGGCAGGCACGTTTCAAGCCTCATTCTCTTAGCATCCTGCCGACCCAAGCTAGTAGAGCCCAAAGCATGGGATATGGGGCAAGTCAAAGGCAAAGAGTGTGGATCCAGGGAGGGGTGAAGAACTAGAAACAACCATTTAATCTGTCAAAGAACTCCAAGAGGCTCACTTCCTTCCTAGGAGAGAGCCTTTTTCAGTGTTTGAAAATAATAGTCATGTTTTCTGCAGGTCATAAAAATAGCATCAACTTTGAGGTTGAAGAGAATCTGGGTCTCACCCTTCCTTGTCTGAGTGGTCCAGGGCGAGTTACTCAGTCTTTGAATAAAATGAAAAGCCTTCTTCTCCCGGGGTCGTTCTGAAGATTAAATTGAACAAAATATAAATAAGAAACTAAGCCTCACAGCGGTACTCCTTAAGTGCTCAGCAAGGATAACTCACTCTCCATTCCATCTTTCAGTCGGTTCTCACCTATCTTCAAGGTCTTCTTTGCTTTTTTGAGTATACTGTTACTTTTATATGTCCTCCTCCTGTATATTTCTCATATTAATGCAAGGCTCGAGGTGGAATATGTTAGAACAGCACCCTGGTGTTGTAGAGCTTCTGCTTCCATTGAGACCACCCGAGCTTGAATGAGGTTATATTTCACCTCATTTCATCCATGGAGGTTACAGTTAACTAAATTCCTGAGTTTTTATTCCATGCTTCCTATAGGAGCTACTGGTTTTAGTGAGTTTAGTTGTTGTTCTGTATGTATTTATAGACTGTTTACTTTGTAGAAATATTTTGTGTGCATTACCTTCTCTTAATTCTTACAAAACCACCTTGGTGAGGAACACTTTTTATTCCCAGTTGCAGAAGAGGATACTTGAATTGAGAAAAAAAATGTGGGTTCCTGGGGGTCAACCAGACCCTCCTAGAGGGACTGGATTTCCGGCTACTGTGTTTCCAGGTGTGACTGATTTTCAGAAGGATTTTCTTTCTCTCTCCTTGTCTCTACCTCCCGCCCTTTTTGTGGGTCTCCAGGATCCTTCATGATGGTGAACAGCTCTGGGAGGGCCTCTGGCCAGAAGGCCCACCTTCTCCTGCCGACCCTGAAGGAGAATGACACCCACTGCATTGATTTCCATTACTACTTCTCCAGCCGCGACCGATCCAGCCCAGGGGCCCTAAATGTCTATGTGAAGGTGAATGGTGGACCCCAGGGAAACCCCGTCTGGAACGTGTCTGGGGTGGTCACCGAGGGCTGGGTGAAGGCAGAACTTGCCATCAGCACCTTCTGGCCACATTTCTACCAGGTATGGTGTTTTATCATAGTTTGATTTTTTTTTTAAGTAATTGCCTATATACACCACTTGCCCTCTTGTTTAGAGGTTTGGTCTAGAAAGGATTTTATGTACTCATGCACCTCATGGTTACCAAGGTGCTTATGCTAATCAGTCCTGGAGGATGGAGATCCAGTATAGCCCCTGCCTCCCTGGAGATTGCAGTCTGCAGGAAGAGACTGATTGATACTGGTTATTTATATGAACACAGTATAGTGGGATGTGTGTGGATTCCACGGGATGCTGGAGGGATGCAGACACTGAAGCCTTCTAGCAAATAATTTCTTATAACGATCTTATGAGGGAGGTGCTATTATTATGCCTATTTTACAGATGAAAAATTGAGGTTCAGAAAGATAACAAGTCAAATATTGCCCCTGGGGAAGAGGGGTTGGGAGCAAGACAATTAGGATGGCTCCTAAGAGGACAAGACAGCTAGGCTGAGTCTTGAAGATGAACAAATACTTATTGAAGAAGGAAGGGAAAGGCATTTGCATTGACAGGGGTGATGGATAGCATGGATTGAAGGAGTAAGATATTTTGGCAGAGTTTGATAACTAGGTTGTTTATAGGTAGATTGAAAGGAAGATATACTGGGAGCTAAACCTGCAGTGATGGTTAGGTCATGGGGGGCTTTGAATGCCAGGCTAAGGAGAGTAGATTTATTCTCTAGCCTAGAGCAGTACTACTGAAACCATCTGTGGTGAAGACCAGTTTTTTCTCCTTAACTCACTGTGGACCAATACTCTTATAATCTGCAATAAAAGTGTCACAGCAAGGCCAAATTGCTGGAACACTTTCTGAACACCTCCTATCTCATTGCGGACTGTTAACATACATGGTACATGATGCCACCAGCCCATGGGCACACTTAGAGGAACATAGCTCCATGTTGTCATGGCCCGGGGCTGTTGAAAGTTTTTAAATTACTTTATTAGGTACAATTTATATATCATGGAATCCACTTATTTTAAGTATGCAAGCCAGTGATTTTTAGTAAATCTATTGAATTGCAGAATCATCACCATAAACCAGCTTTAGAACGTTTTCTTCCCTCTGTAAGCTCCTTTGTGCCTGTTTGCAGTTGATATCCATACACACAGATGGAAGGCTTTAAGTCAGAAAGTGACATAGTCAGATCTATTTTTGGAGAAGTTTCTCTGGAGTCTAAAGCAGAAGAGGGACTGAAGGGTGGCAAGCTGAGTGCCTGGGAGATTCGTAGGCATCCTTCAGTTCAAAACTCATGGTACAGTTCTTTCAGATATACTGTGAAATCAGTTGTGAACAATATGTAAATGAATGGACATGGCTGTGTTCCAATAAAACTCTATTGCACAAAAAATGTGATGGACCAGATTTGGTCTCCAGGCCATAGTTTGCTGAATCCTGATGTAGGTGATAAAGCTGAGGTCCAGAGATGGACAGTGAAGTCCAAGAGCACACAGCAAACCATTGGCAAAGCTGGGACTAAAACCCTGGTGCTCTGGTCTCGAAACTGCCCCTGTTTCACTAAGTATAGCTTGAAGTGTCTCTGTAAGTCCGTGGATCCCCTCAAGGAGGACTTAGCGTTTCAATTTAGAAACCCCCTACCTAGGACCTGATGCAGATGGATACAGGATGGGGGCCACAGGTGCAAGGAAGGATAAAGAGCAAGAAAAGTGACCCAGGTGAGGGTTAGACCCACTGCTGACCTTGCTCTTTGATGGGGTATGGGGGGGGGTGTGTCCTGGGCATCTCTTATGTCTCGTCTCTGTGGTAAGCATATATATGCTTCTCATTTATCTGATAGTAACTCCTGTGTTGGGTGGCACCATGTCCTGTGTTCCAGAGTAAGGGATGTTATTGGCCATTTGAGATCCCCATAATTCTGCCTAGGTGCTCTGGCTCCAAGCTCAGTTTCCTGCTTTTAGGGGAAAAAAAGCATGCCCAACCTGAGAATTGGTTGCTAACTAGCAGTGCAGTGTTGGGTCTGCCCCATTATCGTTCTGAGCACAGTTGTCTCATTTGTAAACTGGAGAGGTCCATGGGTTAAATGAGGTAGTATGTAACAAGGGAGGAGGAAGTGAGGGAAGAACAGACATAGGGGATGGAGGTGAGCGGTCCTCCTTAAAGAAACACCGGCTGTAGCTGAGCTCCGAGCTGTCCCTGTGATGAGCAGCCTCATCTGGCAGAAGGTTCTGATTTCCAGCCTGTTACACCACAGCGTCATTTCACTCCATCTCCTTTCCTCTGAGCTTTGTGGTGAGAAAGCCACTAATGTGCTGAGAGCAGCGGTTTAGAAAAGGCACGGGTCTCTCAGACACACACACAGCTGTGAGTGGACAGCCCCGTGGCTGCCCTCATCGGTGTACGCACTCACCATCAGGTCCTCAGACTCACCACACACGCAGGGACACCACCTACACCTACCTCTGGGGAGAGAAAAGGGGGCCATCAGGAGATTCAAAGACGTTTGCAAAGTGAGCTTGAAAATTCATCAGACCCCCAGCTCTGGATCTGCATGTCTGATTCTGTGGACTAAATACCATTTTGGTTCTCAGCGGTGCTGGGCTTCAGACCCCAATGGCTTATGTATTCATTTATTAAAGTCATATTTCACAGACCTAAAATTGACTTGTAGCTCTGTTACAAACAGGGACTTTTCATCTTTCTTATTAGTGGGCTCTCTGCTCCAGGCCTTCAGCAGGGCCTGAGATGAGAAGGGCCCCCCTCCTGCCATCCACCCCTCGCTGGCCTCCTCTCAGGGGAGCAGGGGCTTGTCTGGTGCAGCTGAGGCCGTGCTGCACATGGCTGCTCCTTTCCAGGTGATGTTAATTCTATTTCAGTTTTTAATGATTCTGAACTTTTCTGTCCCAATATTTAAAAAAATAAAAGAACTTTAATTAATTGTGCCGCCACTTCCTCGCTCTATTCTCCATCAGCTGCCTCAGTGAAATTGCCTTTTGATTCAGCTGTGTAGACCCCTGAAATTTAAGACTCACTCAACTTGAATTTAATTGGAACGTGAAGCCCAGTCCCTTTCTCAGACGTTCCTCTGGCCTCTGTGTTCTGTGCAGTTGGTCCCTTCATGCACAGTTCCGGAGGCATCATGGGGTGGTGAGTGAGTCTCTACCTTCTTTAAACTCCACCGCATCTCCTCTTTCATTCACCCATCTCCCCTCCCTGCTAGACAGCAAACCCACCTCCTTCTATTTTACGCAGGCCTCCTTTGGCCGGTCTGGAAAAGAGTGTCTTGATTTCACCCCAAGCAATCTCCCCATCATGAAAATATACATAGTCCTCTTCCAAAGAGAAGTTCTGGTTAGCCAAGATTTTTCTGTCTCTTATCTTTTGAGAAGGTGTTTGCAGCCCCTTGAAATGTTTTGCTCCACAAATTCTCTGCTTGAGGCCTTCGACAGTGACCAGAAAATGTCAAGTCCCTTAAACCATTTCCTGACGTATTCACACCTTCCTCCAAATGGGCACATACCCTGCTTTTTGGAGGGTTTTGGGGGTGACTCATCTCTGAGCCTCTCTTGGGACTTGACTTCCTGGCTTGGCCCAGCAGTTCCTGCACTGGGAGAGGTTTGTCCCTTTCCAGCAAAGCTCCGTTTCCCCCAATACCAGGAGATCTCTGAGGGTCCGGGGCTTGCGGGTGCGTGGTTGATAGTCAGGGCACACGGCCGCCTTGGGGTTGAAGACTTTCCTGCAGGGAAGGTGTGGTCCAGTTCCTGCGCCCCAGCATCCCTGTCTCCATACACTGACATGGAGCATCGCGGATGGTCTTCTGTCTCCCTCCACCCACCCCTCTCATCCCCCGTATGCGGATGGCACTAGAGGAGCCTTTTTTCTCACAATTCTCCACTCACTCCTCTGTCTCTTCTCCCATTCCTGACTCTTATTCCTCAAGGGCCTTGGTTGGGGTTTTCTTATGCGTGTGCTTGGCTTGAAGATGGTGGTTCTGCCTCACTTCAGAACACCTGAGCAGGTCTTTCTGTCACCAAGGGTCTTGACCTCACCCTGCCCCTTTGTGGTGTCTGCCCCCAGGAACTGGAGCTGGTAAGATGCTGGGTGGGATCTTCCTGACCAGGACCCCCGCCCCAGAAGCACATTGACGGGGTGACCCTTTCCACCTGAGGCTGCAGCTGTCTTCCCAGGCACCTTCTGACCCAAAGAGAGAACTCCAGTCATCCACATTCCCCAGAGCTTGGTCAGTCGGGAACCTCGCCCTGGGGCCCGAGCTGCAGCCGTGACAGCTGCTTTTCCTAAACCACACAAGACCAAATTCTGTTCTGCTGTTCTGTTTGTTTATGAGGGCTTCCTCCTCTTTTTATTTTTATCAGCAGTGAGAATTCAGAGGGGCACTCACATTTCTCCTGATGTTTGAATGTCCCTGGTCTTGCTGCTTGCTACGCTTATAATCTCTTGCTGCAGCCAAACCTGATTTCTCTGACTTTGTTCCATGGCCCCCTGTCCCATGGCTTCTTACAAAACTCCTTGTGATCAGACGCTTGAGCCATGAATCCCAGCAATAATTTGCATTGCCAGGATCTCATTCAGAACTATAAAGTATGCAAGGATGGATGAGCGGGTGTTTGGGGCTTTGGGGCTATACTGGCCCTGCCAACTTCTTCTCCATCCCATTGCTTCTCTGTGACTCAGACTTGCAATCCCATAATCTACTGTTGGCACATTCTAGCCACCACTTGAGATCTCCCTCTCCAGTGCCTGGCATTATGCTCCCCAGGGTTGGCCCTTGTTTCTGGAAGCAGGCTGCTTACCCAGGCTCATGTGTGTGGGCCTGAGAGTCAGCCCGCTTATGAGAGTTCAGTGTTTGGAGGACAAGCTCAGCAGGTGAGGCCAGGTGGGCCCTTGAGGGTCCAGGCCCATCCATCGTGAGCCTGTGGTCCTTTTCTTTCCTTTCTGGGGAAGATGGTGGACTTCCTGGCACTCTCGCTGGTACCCCCCAGCCGTGTGACCCTCTTCTGTCAGGC